AAATGTGATTCTGAAATAAACTATATAACGATTTCAAGAGAAGTATCTAATTAATAAAATATTAAAATCTCTAGTCCAACAAAATGTGATTCTGAAATAAACTATATAACGATTTCAAGAGAAGTATCTAATTAATAAAATATTAAAATCTCTAGTCCAACAAACATTGATCCTGGAGTAAAATTATATAATGATTTCAAGTGAAGTATCTAATAAATAAAATATTAAAATCTCTAGTCCAACAAACATTGATCCTGGAGTAAAATTATATAATGATTTCAAGTGAAGTATCTAATAAATAAAATATTAAAATCTCTAGTCCAACCAAAATTTGATTCTGAAATAAACTATATAACGATTTCAAGTGAAGTATCATTTAATAAAATGTTAAAATCTCTTGTCCAACACCGAAGCTGGAGAAATCCAGATTATTTTATGGATTTACTAGATGAGTTGACACAAGTGAACAGAAGAAACACTTATGAAACCATATATGTACCAGTTGCAGTAAATAGGTTAATTACATTACTGACCAAGACACTTAAAAATCAAATTGATTTCACTTCTCAACAAAAACCAAGATTTATCTCAAACATTTATGATTAACTCACTTGCACAATATAATTTGATTCTAGTGTAGTTATATGACTTACAATGAAATACTTATTTTAAAACATGCTGTACAAATGTTTCATTTCTAAAAAATACATATAAACTAACTTATGATGAATTCTCATTACAGAAGCCTTATGGAAAAGCATTTTATCATGAAAGCTTAGAGGCCAGAGTATATCTGGCCTGTAAATTATAAATGTTTGAGCATCGAATAAGATGCTAAAGAAACAAAGAAAAAAAGTGAAAAGCTCCTGAGAATGAAGATCTTATACATCTCTAAAGGGGTACAGAACTAAAGAACAAACCTAAGGGTGATTTGATGTTATACATAAGGACTGGAGAAACTAAGCTTGAGGTGTGACAATACATAAATATAAATCAGAAATTACTACATTCTAGCATGACATCATATAAAACACATAAACTGCAAAGGTTTGACACACAGTGATGCCACAAGTAAAGACAGAGAACCATTTGTATAAGTAAATTATGCCTTTATTTTTGTGTTCTGTTTAGATTAAATAAGTGTGTAGCAGAGTACAAAGCAGCAGTCAATATTTCAAGAACAATCAGGTTCAATATATAATATTTATGCTGTCTCATGAGGATATCATGTAATCAACTTTTTCATTTTATCAATGTTGTAAGTTATTTAATGGTTGAAGATTTCATTAGGCCACAACTAAGTCTCTTGGACTATCAGGTGGTTGAAGTTATTTAACAGTTGAAGATTTCATTAGGCCACAACTAAGTTTCTAGTACGATCAGGTGGTTGAAGTTATTTAACGGTTGAAGATTATATTTGGCCACAACTAAGTCTCTAGAACTATCAGGTGGTTGAAGTTATTTAACGGTTGAAGATTATATTTGGCCACAACTAAGTCTCCAGAACTATCAGGTGGTTGAAATTATTTAACGGTTGAAGATTATATTTGGCCACAACTAAGTCTCCAGAACTATCAGGTGGTTGAAATTATTTAACGGTTGAAGATTATATTTGGC